AATATAAAAATTTGGTCCAAAATTGGTCAAAATTCGGTAAATGTGAGTCTGGGGAAAAATTTGGAGGTCATTTTTTAGTTCAGCACCCAAAATCGCAGGAAACAATATAAAATCGACTTGAAAATTTTGGTCCAAAATGACCTAATTTGGGATGAAAATATATGTCTGAAGTCGAAATGGGAGTGATTTTCGTTATCAGCACACCAAAACTGCTGATATCAACGTCAAACTCGTTTAAAAAAATTTGGCCCAAAAATTGGTAAAAATTCGGTTTAAATGTGAGTCGGGGAAAAAAGTTTGGAGGTCTTTTTTGAGTTCAGCACCCCAAAAATCTGCAGGAAACAATATAAAACTTGACTTAAAAATTTTGGTCCAAAATGACCTAATTTGGATGAAAAATAAGTCTGGAGTTGAAATGGGAGTGTTTTTCGTTATCAGCACACCAAAAACTGCTGGGATCAACGTCAAACTCGATTTAATAATTTGGTCCAAAATTGGTCCAAATTCGGGTAAGTGTGAGTCTGAGAAAATTTTGGAAGTCTTTTTTAAGTTCAGCACATCAAAAACTGCAGGAAACAATATAAACCTTGACTTAAAATTTTGGTCCAAAATGACCCAATAGGGGATGAAATTATAGGTCTGGTGTTAAAATTTTGGGTCGGGGACAATTTAGATGTCAATATTGAGGTCAGCGCACTGAAAACTACAGCGAAAAAACACAAATCTCAACTTGGAAAGTTTGGCCCCAAAAATTTCGTAGCTCTAGATGAAAATGTAGGATTGGCATAGGTGTTTTTTTGACTAGTACACTGAAAACTACATACAATACTTTAGACTCAATTTTTTCTGTATATCGTTCCTATTTTTGTCTTCATGAAGCACCCTCTGTCGTCACCAATTTCCCCGATGCCACACCAATGCAAAACCCTCAGTCGAGTAACATTCAATTGCCAGCATTGAATCGCTTAATTGGCTACTTGTATGCTTGGGTCACTATTCGATACTTTTTTTTCCCAACTAATGAATTCACAATTTTATAAGTAATATTTTAAAAAACATTTTGCCATTCTTTCATTGTGAACCAGTGAAAAAACAATATTGATTGGAACATGTTAAACAGTTAATATTAAAAGAGCACTTTAGGGTAGGCTGATTGAAATTAACGGGGACCATTATTGTCAAATCCAGTGATTTGTCACATAGAGTCCCAAAGCCAAGGCTACCCCAAAAATTAAAGAACCGATAATTTTTCTTCCATGTAAACAAAACTGAGTAGTACCAGTTTTATTAACTTTGGTGAAGTTAAAAAAATCGTCTCATTAAATCGAATCACAATTCACCAAAAGCTCAAAAACCCGAGTCGTCTCTTTGAACCCCAAAATCAATTCAAACTCTATTAGGATTAAATATACACAACCATACATTGATTCTATGTTAGTACTTTTTCACTCTTGTCAGCTTGCAGTTTGAAATAGAATGTATTTCTCGAGTCCAAACTAAGATGCCAG